GCACTGCGTGGCCGAGGGTGGGTGGGGGGGTGGCATTAGTGGTGTTAGCAGCGTTAGCGGCAGTAGCGGCTGAAGTGGGGGGCGGTGGCCTAGCTTTCGCGAGGGAAGGCCTCCAGTCCTTTCCTTGCAAAAGCCGTGGGCTTGCATGCACTACGTGGCCGAAGGTGGGTGGGGGGGGTGGCATTAGTGGTGTTAGCAGCGTTAGCGGCATTAGCGGCTGAAGTGGGGGGACGTTGGCCTAGCTTTCGCGAGGGAAGGCCTCCAGTCCTTTCCTTGCAAAAGCCATGGGCTTGCATGCACTACGTGGCCGAAGGTGGGTGGGGGGGGGGGCATTAGTGGTGTTAGCAGCGTTAGCGGCATTAGCGGCTGAAGTGGGGGGACGTTGGCCTAGCTTTCGCGAGGGAAGGCCTCCAGTCCTTTCCTTGCAAAAGCCGTGGGCTTGCATGCACTACGTGGCCGAAGGTGGGTGGGGGGGGGGGCATTAGTGGTGTTAGCAGCGTTAGCGGCATTAGCGGCTGAAGTGGGGGGACGTTGGCCTAGCTTTCGCGAGGGAAGGCCTCCAGGCCTTCCCTTGCAAAAGCCGCAGGCTTGCGTGCACTACGCGGCCGAAGGCAGGTGGGGGGGGGGCGGCAGTAGCGACGGCAGCAGTAGCGGCGGCGGCATTAGCAAGCCACTCCCATCCAGTCATATGGGTGGCCTTCCCTTGCAAAAGCCGCAGGCTCGCGTGCACTACGCGGCCGAAGGCAGGTGGGGGGCGGTGTTAGCGGCGGCGGCGGTAGTGGCAGCGGTGGTAGCGGCGGCAGCAGTAGCAGCGGCGGCGGTAGCAGCGGTAGTGGTGGTGGTGGTAGCAGCAGTAGCGGCTGAAGTGGGAGGGCGGCGGCTTAAGTTTCACGAGGGAAGGCCTGGGCTCACGTGCACTACGGGCCGCGGCCGCGGGCTCACGTGCACTATGCGGCCGAAGGCGGGTGGGGGGGGCGGCGTTAGCAGCGGCGGCATTAGCAAGCCACTCCCACCCGGTCACATGGGTGGCAAGCCACGCCCACAAAGGAGGCCACACCCACCAAGCACCAAGTAGGTTCGAACAAATTTTGAAACCCACCCCTGGGAGGTAGGGAGGTAGATATGGCAGGCAGGCAGGCAGGCAGGCACGCACGCGTGCACGAACACACACACACACACACACACACACACACACACACTCCATAGGCAGGAAAGACTCAAAGGTTCTGAATCTCTTGTTTTAACAATAGCTTGTTCCACATCTAGCCATGACATCTGATTAATGACTAAGTAATCACACATAATCTGAAGTTTCTTCCTTGTTTGTAAGGCAGGGGTGTCCAACCCTGGCAACTTTAAGACCTTAGACTTCAACTCACAGAATTCCCCAACCAGGATGAAGACCACAGGCCTTAAAGTTGCTAGGATTGGATACCCCTACTTTAATAAGGTCTCCACCAGAGCTGCCCATATCTTATATATGACAAAGGAAGTCAAAAACAAGTCTTGGTTAATGGAGCATCCCAAGATACATGATGTATAACTGAAAAAAATGTAACTTTTCAACTTACTAATTCTCTCTCCTTCTTGAGAATGAATTTTATTTGCTCTAGTCAAGATGGATATCAGAATCTCCAAACTTTTTATGATGGGGTTGCAAAACCAGGCCAATCTCCCATAGGCAGTTTCAGCAGCATTCCATGGGCAAGACCCTAACACAAGACAATGGGTTATTTTATAATTAAGCAAGGAACTAAATGTGCAAGAATATGATTGGTTACCCAAAAAACCAAAAAACAAAAGGTTTGTGAACCAGATTTATGTTGGGCAACAACAAAATTTCCTCCTAGCTCCAACGGTCATCTACATCCTTTCTTATCTAACTCTAACAAGGTACAGTGTTTCTCAGCCTCCGCAACTTTAAGATGTGACTTTCAGTTCCCAGAATTCCTCCAACCAGTTTCCCCAATTCTGGAGTTGAAGTCCTCACATCTGAAATTTGCCAAGTTGAAACACTTTTCTAGATCATCAAGGGAAGGAGGAAGGAGTATCGCTTGATAGCAAGCTGTAGACTTGTCAGACAAAGGAACTTGTGTTCCGTGCTTGGCATTTTCAGCTAATGTGAGGAAATATATATATATATATATATATATATATATAATGTTTTTAATAAACATAGTAATAAAACCAAATTAAACAAAAAGAGAGAAAGATAATAGAAAAAGACAACAGAAGATAATAATACACAAGTGCCTTCCAACTTGCATCACACCGAGCATAAACTGATATGCTAGCTTTTCACCTTTCTTTTAAAGTTACAAATATAAAAACATCTTCTCCCCATAGCATTTTATCATCTTTTCAATTCTGGTTCAGCAAAACATACATTAAGAGTTAACAGAAATATCAAATACTGTAATACCAATGGAGGAGAATATGTGTAGTTCAGTGTTGAACCACACGTGTAGTCCTTGATGTTCTCTGAGCTTGGTTGTTTTCTTGCAGACATTTCATTACCCAACTAGGTAACATCTTCAGGTCTAGAAGGGAATGGGATGTACTCTCTTGTTTATATATAGCAGCATGCCCTGTCAGTATAGGTGGGGGTGAACTTCTTTTTGGTACTTCTTTGATTATGTTGTTATTTAAACTGAAGATATTACTTAGCTGGGTAATGAAACATCTGCAAGAAAACAACCAGCTGAGAGAGCACCAAGGATTCCACAAATGAGAATCATTTATTCCTAATCAAATAATTCAACTTTACTATATATTTCTTCTTTTTGCTTTGCATAACCTTGACCTTTAAATCCTTCCTATGGCATTGCAGGATTTGATCTTTCATCACTGTTTGGTATTTAAAATAAATATTCAAAGACATTTCAAAACTGCCAGCCTACTTTGTAAATCACATAAAGAGACAATATCCAAGTTTTCTTGTCAAAGCTGTTCCACATCCAGATCCTTTCCTTGATTTCTCTTTTCTGTTTCCATTTTGGTAATTTCATTTTTTGTGGTTTTCCATGTCTCTTCCATACTCTATAATATTTAAGTCAGGTCAATTTTTAAAAAAAATATTCTTGCTTAATAGTCAAAAGAAGAAACCTAGGAAGGACCTACCATAACGGATCATGCCAGGGGTAAAATCTACTTACCTTTGCTAGGGGTTTGCACATGCGTATGCCACCTCTACACATGCGCAGGACCTTCCACGCATGCGCAGAGGGTCAAAAATTGATGTGATCACACCTGGGTGGGTGGGCAGAGCCCTGCTACTGATCCTGCTTGCAAAAGTAAGTAGAACAGCGGGGGGTGGGGGGGAAATCCGCTATGCCACATGATTTAGATTAGCTAGAAAGCAGGAAATCTTGCTTTCTGGCTAATATAAATCATGCATCACAGCTGATTGTCAGAAATACCAGTTCGGGAGAAGTGGTAGCTTTTTTTTATCACTGGTTCGGGTGAAACTTATTGCATTTCACCCCTGGATCATATACTTAAAAGAGAGAAGTTTGCACCTTTGACTCTCAAGATTCTGTTAATGTAGCTTTACAAAATTGTAGAATTAGCTCATCTGGTCATGTTTCCAATAAAATAACAGTGTCTATCATTCTTTGAGTAGAAGAGGTCAGCAGGATCTAAAAGAAATCAAACATACAGATAGCCCTGGACTTACAACCATTTAATGACCGATCAAATTTACAATGGGGCTGAAAAAAGTGATTTATGTTTATTTGTCACAGTTATGGGCATTACAGCATCCTCCTAATCAAAATTTGGACACTTGGCAACTGGCATGTATTTATGATGGTTGCAGTGTCCCAGGGTCATGTGATCCCCTTTTGCAACCTTCTGACAAATAAAATCAATGGGGAAGCCAGAATCAGTTAACAACTGTCTTGCTCACTTAAAAATTGATTCACTTAACAACTGTGGCCAGAAAAGTCATAAAATGGGGCACAAGTCCTTTTACAACTGTCTTGCTTGGGATGAGTGGGGATCACAGATCAAAAACTACTGATATTGTTCTCTCAAAATATGTTGCCCACAACCCTCATCATCTTTCCCAGGTGGGTTTGTCCTTATTGCAGAATGACATTTAAAGGACCCTCAGGTGCAGATAACAGAGAGCCAGTTGTATAAGAAACCAAAGTAGGGGTGGGCTTCAAAAGTTTCAGCAATGGTTTCTCTGGGTGGACATGGCCATGGTAGGCTTGGCTGGTTGGCCTCCTTCATCACGGGAGGGGAGCGTTTTTGCCTTTCCCGAGCTCTGGAGGCTTTCCTCAAGCCTCTGGGAGGGTGAAAACTGCCTCTCCCAGTCTCCAGAGACCCTCTGGAGGCCGGAAACAGGCCCATTTCTGGCCTTCTGGAACTTCCGGGAGGCCCATTTTCCCCCCTCCTCAAGCCTCTGTGTAGGCCCTGCACTTACCTCGAATCCTAGAATGTTACCCGGTGCTCCAGGCAGGCCCCGGTACGCCCATACCAGGGCGTACCTCCTGAAACCCATCAAATCATTGTCATACATGCATATGAGTGTCCATCTTACTTTCAGGAGGATTAGCAGCCTTGATGTACACGGACACAGTCCAGACTTTTGTCATGATTGGAGGCTCTTTCGTTCTGATGGGGTTTGGTGAGTAGGATGCTGAAGATACAAGACTGGGTTTCTTCTGTCATCTCAAACTGCAGAAAGTGGGTTCCAGTAGCCTCAGACATAGGAAAACACAATGGAAGTGGATACAGGTAGCCCTTGACTTACGACCAGTTGCCTCGTCGCTTCTCAAAGAAGAGGGGGGGGTGTCGAGCTATTTTCCAAAGCACCTGAGGGCAGGAGAAGAAGCAACGGGTGGAAACTAATCAAGGAAAGAAGCAACCTAGAACTAAAGAGAAATTTCCTGCCAGTCAGAACAACGAATCACTAATTCTCTATAAGGGAGTTCATGTTACATTACATCAGCCATTTATAATGCTCTGGCATTTTTATCAAATGTGATGCTCTGAAATTTTTGTCACTAAAGGGCAGGAATGGTGGGAAGCTTCATACAATAAATCCTAATTTTTAAGGACAAAAAATAACACAATTTCCACAGATTCACCTATTTTTTGTATATATATATATTTTTAAAAAAGATTTGAACCAGAGATAAATTGGAGCAGTAAACTTTTTAAACTAACCCTTATTTACTAAAATCTTTGTGATGAACATAGTTAGATACCGTAAGTTGCACATGCAATGAGATTCTGCCATTTTTGCAATTACATATTCAACACACACACACACGTATGTATGTGTGTCTGTGTCTGTGTGTATAATGTGTGTGTGTGTGTGTGTGTGTATTATATATAATATAAATATATATATTTGGAACGCATCAAGCAATTTCAACCAAACGTGGTAAACAATACAATACAATACAATAGCAGATTTGGAATTAACCTTGGAGGTCTTCTAGTCCAACCCCCTGCCTAGGCAGGAAACCCTATACCGTTCCAGACAAATGGCTATCCGACATCTTCTTAAAGACTTCCAGTGTTGGAGGCACGTTGTTCCACTGATTAATTGTTCTGACTGTCAGGAAATTTCTCCTCAGTTCTAAGTTGCTTCTCTCCTTGACTAGTTTCCACTCATTGCTTCTTGCCCTGCCTACAGGTGCCTTGGAGAATAGTTTGACTCCCTCCTCTTTGCGGCAGCCCCTGCATGTTACAGATGACTTACTCTCTGGAAACAAATACTGTGGGCGTAAAATACTACTAACACCCCTTGCTGTGGGTGTGTGGGTGTGTTCTAAGATATAGCCTGTTAAAATGGCTTCCACTATACTGACTTAACATGGCTTCCACTATGCAGCACAGTGGAGTTGCCATGGTAACAGTACTCCACAAGAGGGCTCCTTCTGGTAAGGGGGAAAATCCAGCATCAGAAATTACGTTTGGTCCGGACATTTTTGAATGTTTAATACAGGATTGGGGTAAACCAATACCCGGGCAATGGTGGGTTAACAGCAACAGTTAAATTATTCAGGTTCAACTGATCCTATCAATCTAAAACAAAATTTAACTTTTTAAAAGCTGTAACAAAAGACCTGCTATGCTGTATTGCAATTTCATTGCACATGGAAAAAGTCAGAGGGAGGGAAGAGATCTCCAAACTGGGAAACAGCAAGAGTAATGTAACATGCAAACATCTGAATAAAAATGCAATTTCAGTTCCAGCGTGACTATGACTCTTCCCATACAGCTTTCAATGAAATCGGAGGTTATCAAGGATTATTTGACAAATACATGGAGGCTATTCCCAAGCAGACACTTTCACCCATCCCTGCCCTCTACAACATCTCGTCTTCCTGCTACCTGCCCCGTGAAGACTCCTTCCACATGATCAGAGATGCCACCACTAGCGATCTGCCCTGGCCAGCTCTCATCATCGGCCTTTCCATCAACTCTCTCTGGTATTGGTGCAGTGACCAGGTACAATTTACAATTCCTTACTTACAAAGCAACAGAGATGCCTAGAAGCCTCACACTACCTATTGTTGTTAGTTGCGAAGCTGTGTCCGACTCAACATGACCTCATGGACAACATTCCTCCAGGCCTTCCAGTCCTCTCTCATTCCCTGGAGTCCATTTAAGTTCACCCTGACTCCATCCAGCCACCTCATTCTCTGTCGTCCCCTTCTTCTTTTGCCCTCAATCGTTTGCAGCATTAGGCTCTTCTCCAGTCAGTCCTTCCTTCTCATTAGGTAGCCAAAGTATTTGAGTTTCTCTTTAGGATCTGGCCTTCTAAAAAGCAGTCAGGGTTGATCTCC